AGTTTCCAGACGAAGTTCTCCGGTTTCTCTCAGCTGAACCTTTTGTGGGGCTTTTACGAAAGCAGCTGCACATCATCAGGAAAGAATAGAATAAAGCAAACACCGCCTTATAGTTTGATGAGTGCAGTAGATGTCATCATATCCTGATCAGGAGACGGTCGCAGCGCCTCCAGCGAAAAGACGGAAAACTTCTAACTCGGACGGTGTTACGAATTCTTTGTCCCAAGAAAATCATTCAGCAGAAAAGGTAAGAAAGAAGTTTATTTAACTTTGAGAGTTTATTCTTAAACATTTGCAGTTATCTGTTAGTGATAGTTTTTTTTGGAATCGTTTGCCTGTTCTCAATATATGCAGGCCTCTATGTCGGACGGAAGTATGGACAATCAAATGCAGATAGACGAAGGACTTTATTCTCGGCAACTGTAAGTTAAGTTTTTACGTAAACAGTGGTGTGTTTAAAGAATTCATATATGGTGAATAAGGCGTGAAGATGATTGCAGCATCGCGAGCTTTGTACTTTCTCTTGTAGTTTCGTACTGAAGATCAAACCTGTGATTCGTGTTAAGTGCATTGAGTTAATTAGTCAGCACTTTCATTTTCAGTGCCAAGCGGTTTTGGTGTTTTGTCCATAATTATACCAAGATCTGAGAATTATGAATGTGCACTCTCCTTCTTACCCGTGCCTGGCTGACAGACATTTTTAGTCAGGATTTAACAGAAAATTCACAAACTGCACTTTTTTCTGCATTGGTTACATGCACCAATTCATCTAGTAAGCAAACAGTCAGAGTTCTCCCAGAAGTTTGTAGTAGACTAAAATAATTTGTTGTTGGCAGCACTAAGCACTCTAAAGCCCCAGCCAAGTGATTGCAACATTTCAGTGTAACATATCGCAACATTGTTGTGTGCAACATGTTGCGCGCATTTGACCACCCTGTTGCGACAGGGCAGGTGTGTTTTGCAGGTTGCAGATTGCAGATTGAAAAATCAACTTTTAAGTCCGAGTGAGTCTACCTAGCACTTTGGTTAGCCTGAATAGCACTCCAGCTAGCCTAAATTAGCTTAGGTTGCTTGCAGTTAGCCATTATACTGGGGTTTATTCGACTTCAACTCAAATAAACAAGTCATTTCAACCTGCAACCTGCAACCTGCAAAATATACATGCCACCTGCGACATATTTCAACATGATGGGTGTTGTTGGTTCAAGTTTCAAAATGGTCCAATTTTACATGCAACATTTGTGGATGTTGCATGATGTTGCACCTGTTTAGTCAGGTTAGTGTAACAGTGTTTCACCAGGGCATGCACACTAGTTTGATTGGTAACACCCAACATGTTGCAACATGTTGGAACAGGGTGGCCAAACACGTGCAACATGTCATCCCCAACAATATTGCATTATGTTGCAATTGTTTGGCCAGGCTTGCAAATACTGGGCCATAAATGTTTCAATATTTTTCATTGAAAAATTGCAATCATTAATTTGGCTGGGGTGTAACTTACAAGCTGAAAAGAGGGACAGCCCCATCCACTGGCTCTTATCAGAATACACATGTTATGTAATGCCAAAAGTATCATTTCCCAAGGGTCAATACCATAACCACTGCATATCTTAAAATTTTAATTACCATAATAGGAAAGACTCAACATCACAGTAAAGAAGCTTGAAGACCTCAAGGGAGATCACCGAACATTCTTTTGTAAAAACTAACTTCCAAGTTATTGCACAAATACATGTAGGGAAATAGGTGGGAGGGATGGGAAAGAGACAAAGAAAATAGGGTGAGTTATGTGTTGCTTGAAAGAGCAAATGACAGTGTAATTTAGGTTCTTTCAAAAAAAACAATGATAATAATAATAATAATAATGATAATAATGATAATAATAATGATAATAATAATCACATCTATAACAAAATTCCCGATCGTGATTGGTTCTCCATGCTCCTGTTTGTCACTTAATTGGCACGCGATCACTTGGATGTCCGATTACAGGTATCCAACTACAACCTTTTTGTACATGTAATTGGATACCCACATGATTCGCACTTCAATTATGTGCACTTTAATGGTTGACTTCAAAGTTTCTTACAGTTTTTTGAATTCATGGAAAGCGCTGCTGACTTTTTTCTCAAAAGAAGTTCCCCAAAGACGTTTTTAATTTCAAAATTTCTTATAAATACAATTAATTGGCTGTTTATGTTAACCACTAACATTTAGCATTTCCTTTTCAGATATGTTCTTGGCCATGAAGCCATGAAAAAAATGGCACTCTCCAATGTACTCATCTCAGGATTGAAAGGACTTGGAGTAGAAATTGGTGAAACATGCTTCTTGTTTCTTGTTTTTACTTTGGAAAATTTTTGAATGTATCCTATTTCATGTAAGGAAAAACTTGGAAAATATTGTGTTTAACATAGTTGGGTTTCATATTTAAAAGAGAAATTTTGTAAGCCATTTTAGCAAAGTTATAGGAGTGTTACTGAAATAGCACAACGAGAAAGTCAAAACTTGATCTAGTATCAGTAACTAGTACACACTATCAATTAGCAGATCTCTCAGAATTCCTCTTTGAGTTCTCAGTACTAATCAAGGCCATCTGTCTTTTGCATGTACATATATAATAAATTATGTCAGACAAGTTTCATGTTTATACAATGTAGCCACATGTAGAAATATATTATCTTCAAAAGTTTGTAAACAGAATTGTTGCGACAGGTTGTATTGTACACATGTAAATCGCTGGTAATTATCCTGCAAATGGCCATATTCTCCCAGAGGAGAGGCAGGACTAATAATGATGATCCTGCAAATTGCTGCTTTATGTAGAACCTGAGATTAAAGGTTTAAATGTAATCTTAAAACTCACAAAAGAAGTATCATTCATCTGCAGCTAAAAACGTCGTACTGGGTGGCGTAAAGTCAGTAACCCTTCATGATTCAGGAAATGTGGAAATGTCAGACTTGTCCTCTCAGGTGAATATTAAACTTATCTGCAACAATTAATTGATTTATACAAATGAATGTGCTGGTCTCAAGGGTTTAAAGGACTGTACTGACACAACATTTTATAATTAGTGGTTCCTTTTTATTGTTGAATGATTCTTAAATTTCAGGAGAATACCAGTTGGGTTTTCAGGCTGTAAGCACACAATCATACTTAGGATGTAAAATCACGGAGCCCATAAAATCTTAATGTCAGTGTTTCTGAAAAGGTCTTTATGCAATACATACAATATCCTTGTTCTGAAGGATTAAAGACTCTGAAACTATAGGCATCGCCCTTTCCACAGATTATACACACAGCGATCATTCTTCATAAAGAATAACTAGGAGGTAACTGAAGAACAATGTGGTCTGATAAACTAGTGCCAGGTCCCTCTCGGGCAAATCATGTTGTGCCCAGTCCCTTGTTTTGTAGCATTCTACTCCAGAAACAGTTAAAGAACCAGTAGAGATTTGAATGTTGTGCTCTGAGCAAATTTTTAACACGACTGTACTCTGTACTCAGACATTCAAATCAAGTTATTTTCCTGTTTAAACTCAAGCATTTATAAGTTTCAAAGATTGACAAGTGCTATTAATCTGGTTATTGCAGTTCTTTCTTCAAGGTGAGGACATTGGAAAGAATAGAGCAGAGGTTTCCTTGAGCAGAATATCAGAACTCAACAGTTATGTCAATATGTCTGTTCATGCCGGGCAGCTTACAGAAGAATTTTTAGGACAATTTCAGGTTGGTTTGAGGCAAACAGTAATAATTATTCCCTATTGGTTGGTTGATTCCAAACTTCAGGTCCCTGCTAACCAGAACTGTTCTAACCTCTGAAATTGCAAGTCCTTTTCTTTGAGATGTTGTTTAACAAAGTCTGGGTACCAACAACCTGCCTTGCAGTTACATGTCATTGTATTACTGTTGTTCTAATGAAGGTGACACAAAACATACATCGTGTACCATACTGGGAAATGAACACATGCCACCTATGGCACGAGGTTGACTTACACTGCACAAGCTGTGATGTTTCCACGTGCACCCTCTTGACTTCACATTGATGAATTTCCCAAGGTTGAAATTGATGTTGTAGTCCACGTATATGATAAGTGTCCGGATTTTCATTTTCAGGTTGTAGTACTTACCCAGTCTAGTCTAGAGGAACAAACTTGGGCAGGTGACTTTTGCCATGCAAGAGGAATTAAGTTTATTATTGCCGACACAAGAGGATTGTTTGGGTTAGTTTGATTTTGACCCACAATTAAACGCATTTTTTGTCAGAGCATAATGACAGAGAAAGGTTTTTACTCAATGCCAGTGCATGACAATTTAATTGATTCAGGACAACTTTTATAATTACAATGATGTTATAATCACTTTTTGTTTAATTTACTGCATTAATTACTTATGGAAGCTAGATATTTTGATGTGGTAAGTTATGTCATACTCCTTAATATATTTGTACTGTGCTGAAAATAAGATAATATAACAGTCTGTTTTGAAAGCTACATTCAGAGCTTCATGCTAAGTTACATATAGGTACATGATCTTTTCTACATGTGGCTCTGTTATCAATGTTAAGTCCCAATTTGAAAATTTAAAGTTATTGTGCAATCCAGGAAGTATTGCTCATGACATATTATTGAAATGGCAAGTCACAA